CTGAAGCTTGACCTGACAGGATGCCGTATGACATCACTACGTCTGTCCAGAATGCTGTCTGTACTCTGTAACCTGCGGTCCCTTGCTTTAGATGTCAGCCAAGGATTTGATGTGGGCCAACTGAGCAGTGAGTGTAAGGCAACACTTGGCAAAGTAACTGAACTGAAGCAGACTTTATTCACCCCTTCTTATGGTGTTGTTCCGTGCTGTACCAATCTGGAGAGGCTATTGCTTTATTTTGAAATCCCAGATCGGACTCGTGAAGGAGAAATGCTCTCAGGCCAACTGATGGTCGGACAAAGCAACATCCCGCACTATCAAAATCTCAAGGTATTCTATGCAAGGCTGTCACCTGGCTACGTTAACCAGGAAGTTGGGAGGTTTTACCTGTCAGTTCTGAGCATTCGGACTCCCGAGAACTTGCGTGCCTTTATCCTGTCCGTCCCTGGAGTTTTTGTTGACACTGGATGCTCCACACGGAACTTTCTAGATTGCATGACCAAAAACTTTAGCTTGGAGGCACTGCAGCTCCCTCGATCCTGGTTGAATGGATCCTCACTTCTACATTCCTCACTTTTGCACACCATTACATTGAGCAACCCTGTCTATTTGAACTTCAGCCATTGCATACTGTCTGGCTGTCAGCTGAGTCATCAAATCATTAATGGAGGCAGAAACGTCCAGTCACTAGTTAGCTTGAACCTCAGCGGTTGTGTCCATTGCCTGCTATCAGACTGCTCTGTCTTTCGCAAGGCTAAAGACGACATTGATTTCGATGTGGTGGAAGCACTGGTAAACTGTTGCACTAACCTGAGGCACCTGAATCTGTCTGCAGCTCACCACCACAGCCCTGAGGGCACCGGAAGGCACTTGTGCTTGCTTCTGGCAAGATTGAAGCAGTTGCGTTCGTTATCGCTCCCAGTGTGTTGTGTGGTGCAAAGTGCCAAAAACACTGACAAACTGCCTAATCATGCAGTGCCAGCTTTACAGGCACAGTCTGTGCGCCGGGGTCTGGGAAAGAAGGTTCGAATTGGAGTTCCGACCTATCCAAGGAATATTCAGGAGCAGCTGTCGTTGAATTTGCCAGCAACTGTGTTTGGGACTCTACTGGAGAATATTCCCTTTTTGGAAGAGCTGGAGTTGATTGGGTCCAGTTTCTCGTCGAATGTGCCTCGAAATGAGCCTGCCATCAGGAACATGCAGCCACCCTGTGACCGAGCACAGCGGATCCGAGACGAAGAGCTGGCACTTATTGGACATTTGCAGCGCCTGCGCAGTCTGACCTTGGCCCAACTTCCTGGCATTCTCACAGGGTCAGGGCTGATTGGCATTGGACTGAAGTGTCAGCAGCTACAGACATTATCCCTGGCAAACCTTGGGCTGCTGGGTAAGGTGGCTTACATGCCAGCCTTGTGTGAAATGCTGAAACACTGCAAACAGTTGAAGGACTTGAGGTGAGAGCATGTCTTTCTTAGAATTTGAAGTTTTCACATGTACTCCAGAAATAAAGGATTCACCGTTTGAGTCAATAGCATTTGCGTCTTCATGTGAAGCTGTCTCTAAATCTCGATAAAGGGAACTTCATTGTTCTAGCACCTTTTTTAAGTTCTCAGGATGTCACAAAGTGCGCAAAGTCAATGTTTAAATGCAGACTTGCGGAGTCTCTTAAAGAGCAATGATTGACTAGTGATGGTGGTGTAGTGGTTATGCTTCTGTACTAGCAGTTCAAAGATCTGCATAAATCATCCATCATCGAACTGACTGCAAATCCCACCCTTTCAGAAGGAGAATTCTGTTTTTTTATAAGGTGATTTTTTTTTTAAATAAAAAAAAACTGGTATCCTTTAAATAAAAGTGACTCCATTATTGGTTGAATGTTTACAAAAAAAGCAGATTCACTCTCTCATGGTTGCGAAAACCTGTCGTCTTTACCAGTTTTGAACTGCCCTCTGGAGTAGCTGAGCATGCCATTCATTTGTATGAAACTGGTCAAGAAGCTGTGGTTCTGCTGATGGCATGATGAACAGTTATGGACCATGCTTCTAATTAAAAATGTGGAATGAGGGAAAGAATTCTGTAAAAGTAGCTTTCTCACTTATTCAACAATTGTGCCTGTGTTGCTCTGCTCCCAAGTGACATTACATTCATTTTGTGGTAGTCATTTCTTGTACTGCTTACTTATGTGTGATCACCCTCTTGTCCAAGGCTTAGTTTGACTGCCATATGCTGCAGTGATTTGTGACATGTTTAATTGTTTTGTTCATTTTACACAGTCATAGGTGGAGGAGAAAAGATTATGGCTGTTTGCAATAATGGAGGAGTTTCCTTTTCTTCTGATACAGCTATTCTGTCCTTGAGTAATTTTGTTCAGAGCCACATTGCTCATATGTAGAATTCGATTTTGTTTCTGGCACACAAATACTTAGGACCCTTGAGGGTAATATTTTTGACCCAAGAAATGCTTATTCATCACGGTGCCCAATTAACGTAAATAAAGCTACAGAGTTGAATAGGGTTTATGTGGTTAGACTGGAATTGTGGCTACAGGGAATTCTGCATCACTATCCACAGGATTTAACAGGCAGCAGTTATTTAGTGGCTAATGTGACTTACAGCTGCTACGTTTTTATTTTATTCTTTTGTGGGATGTGCGTGTCACTGTCTAGGCCATCTTCTATTGCCTTGTCTCTGATTGCCCTTGAGAAGGTTGTACTGACATGCCTTTTGAAGCATTGCAGTCCTTGGGGTGTAGATGCGCCCACAGTGCTGTTGCGAAGGGGAGTTCCAGAATCTGGACCTATTGATAGATGATTGTATTCCTTTTAATGTGTTCTTCCATCTGTAAAGTTCGTGGAAGGTGCTGTTGAAGGAGTGCAAAGTATTTTATCTCCTTTCTGACTTATCCCTGTAAATGATGGGGCAGATTTAAAAGAATCATGAGTTGTGTTAACCATTCACAGAATTCCCAGGTCCTCTTGTAGCATTGGTATTTATTTGAAGACTCCAATTAAGTTTCAAGCATGTTGATGGTAAGGCTTCAGCAATGCTGGATGGTTAAGTTCTGACTTATTGAAGATGTTAATTGCCTGGCATGTGTGTGCTGTGAATGTTACTTATCAGTCCAAACCTGACTGAGTCTTTGCTGCACGCAGGCACAGGCTACTTTATTATATGTGGAATTGTGATTGGAGCTACACACTGCAATCAACAGCGAGCATGCTCACCACTGACCTTATGATGGAAAGAGAGTCATCAATAAAGATATTTAGGAGTCAGACACTACCCTGAGGAACAATTACAACAATGTCCTTGGACTGAGATGATTGGCTTCCAGCCATCACAATATTTCTCTCCTGCATGTTTAGTTTTAATTAAATATCACATCTATCATCTATCATCTATCTTATCTATCATCTTAATGTTGCTATTTCTCTCTATTTTCTTTCTGCCCTGTGCACTCTGGGCCTTTTTCTTTCCACACTGAATTCTAGAAGGCAGCTGCCAGTGGCTCCTCCTTGTATTTGCTCCATATCCTCTCATACCTTCTCTCTTTTCCTGATCATCTTTTGCAAACCTAGCCTCTCCCTTACAATTTCTCCCTCGTTTCTTTTTCATCCACCTTCCCTTTCAATATATTCTTCCTGTTGCTTCTCTCATTTTTATAGCCATCCTGTGTTCCTCTTCCTACTTGTCCCTTCTGGCCTACTCTCTGAAACCCTTGGGCCTGATCACCCCCACTTTCCCCAACGCTCCATGGCCCCACCATTCCTTTTTTTTTTTGAACAATCCCACCATCTTTCTGTTTTCTTCCCACTGTGACTCAATAAAACCTCCAAATTAAAAATGTTACATTTTGAAATCTCTGCAAGTGAAACTGACATTTTGATGAAGAAACAAGCGATGAAGTGTGGAGATGCTGTAGCATGAACCAGCATTGCTTGAGACTGCAGTGTAAGTATTGGTAAGTGGTGAAACCATTGAAAAGGTTTTAGTTTCTTTGAGGAGGATTTTGCATATATGTCATAGAGTAAGAGTGTTAATCTGGAAAAACATTCCAAGTGCAACATTTGAATTTCTTTTGTATATCCACCTGATTATGGAATATCAAAGCCTCATGATGGAAATTCTGCAAGTACAGTCATTGTAAGGATATAGCAAGCAAACCAGAATGGTGCAGGCTGAGGAAACGTGGCCCTGGTCATGGCATGAAAGGAAGGATGAAGCTATTGATGGGTGAGACAGAGATCATTTTGTGTTTCAAACCCCTAAAGGGCACTGTTTACTGGACAGCAAAGATCGCCACGCTCCGATTATTCTTCAGAGATTTACACAACTTGCAACAAACACCTCAAAGCACTGGAAAATTATCACCAGCATTGTCTTCGCACTTTCCTTCAAACTTAGTGGCAAGAAAGGCGGTCCAACAGCAGTGTCTTCTTCTAAGCCAACAGTCCTAGCATGGAAGAGCTGATTGTGCAGAATCAGCTCTGTGGGCCGTGCCACTCGCGGCTGATATCTGATTCCAAAGCAATTGGTCTAGTCAGACCTTGGTGATCACAGGAAACTTTAGAGGTGATAGTAGAAATGAACATGTCTGAGGAAGTCATATACCATAGCCAACTCCTGGGAATACCCAGCTTGTAACTGACTGAAATGGAGAATTTCGTTTGGAAATGCATCAAGAGACTTTGTTGGGAATACAGAGGAGCAAAAGTCAAGACATCAGAAGGAATGCCCAAACTTCCAAGCAGCCCATCTACCCAATTGTTCATGTGGTAGAGTTCTACATTGAACTTACCAGCCATTTCAGAACCTGTGGAATAGTGTCATCCTTGATCCTGAGGGGCTGCCTCAGATCAAGACTTTGTGTGTATGTAATACTGTTGTAATAGATACGTGCTGGATGGTAACTATCCTGCGGTGCAGCTCACATTGGGTTAAATTGGGGGAATTTTAGAATAATCAGGCTGTTGATTCCTGTAGCACTTCACCTAGTCTGGAAGAGAATCTGTTTTTACTTTTCAACGTGATCAAAACCACAGACTCCTGTTTGCTGAATGGCGATTGTTGCATAGTTAGCATTCTTGACTTTGAGTCACAAGGTTCGGCGTTCAAGCAACTCCAAAGCTTGAGCACGGCAATCAAGGCCGACATTTGTGCATTACCGAGGTCAGAGATGCTATCTTCCAGATGAGATGTTAAAGCATCATCCCATCTGTCTGCTGGACAAGAAAGAACCCATATCATAATTTCAAAGAAAACAAGGGAGTCTTCCCTGGTGTCCTTACCAATTTTGTGTCTCTACGGACATGTAGAACAAGTTTTTATAGAGTCTAACTAGAGGCCGTCGATATCAGACAGTCACCAAGAAATCCAAAAGAAAATTCAGAGCAGAAAGCTTTGCCCAGAGAGTGGTGAATGTGTGGATCTCACCTACCTCTGGAAGCAGATGAAGTGAACAGTATAAATGGCCATAAATGGGGAATCTGAGAAGCTACTGGAGTAGGGATTAAAATGGTAGATTTGGATTAAAAAAAAGGGAAGAGGCTTCAGTAGAGCATGTATGCTAGCTTGGATTGTTGGGCCAAATGGCCTGTTTCTGTGCCATATATCAAATACAAAACATGATCACATTGCTTTTTCTTGGTGCTTTTGCTATGCAAAAGCTGGCTGCTGCATTCCCTACACTAAAACAGTGATTATGCTTCATAAATACTTCATTGGCAGTAAGCTTCCTTGAGACACCCAGTAATCGTGAAAACAGTCCTAGAACTGTTTCACATTCCATTTCTCCAGTTTTGTCATTATCTTTCCCAAATTTTCTCTCACTCCTTGGAATGTGAATGCTTCTTTTTTGTTTCTGAATCCTTTCCTCTTGTCAGTGTTGAAGCTCCTTTTTCTGGGACATTCGTCACTGTGGTTCCTACACATGGTCAAATCCCTCTCTATATTCAGTTTCTATATTTCTCACTTGAATTTTGAAGCCCATCATATACAGCAAATGGCATGATGTGTTTTGAGTGGAGTTGAGTACTAAGATTTAACAGGGAGAGCTTGTCAGGGTGCTCATGGGATAAATATGAGAGAGGAAATAGGAGAACGAGGATTGAGGCCTGGAGGAAACATGGTGGTGATGTTGGAATTATTGGGCATGGAACTAATTCTCATTAGGGATAGGGAGTACAAATAGGATTGTGTTGTATGGTGGAATATGGAGGCTGAACTGCCCTGATAAGCAATGATGGAGTGGGGCTAGATTGTATCAGGAAGACAATCTGAGAAACTGGGTATGGGATTTGGAAGTTTGGGTACATGTCAGAGGCTTCTAAGGGTGGGCTCATTAGTAGACTTGGATCATGTACGTTTGGTTTAGTTGGAGTAATTGCAGGTATCCTACACTTTGTTTTGGCAGCATCTGGGAAGGAGGAGTCTGTGGTTTGACAGGCCTAGACATTTGGGGTTTGTGTTGCTTGGGTAAGCAAGTTAAGAGGAAGCGGCTAAGGTAGCAGGGCACACTTAAGTAGCTTTCAGATGTGTTTTGAAAGTCTTGCAGCCCTTTATCTGGTCTGTGCTGTTATGATGTTCAGCAGAGTTACACCAGAAACAACTTTTCCTTTGTGTATCAATCCTTACTTTTCTATTTCTTGTACCATTTATTCCACATCCACAGTATCCTTTACCTGCTCAGTGTAAATCATACTCTGATACTTCTGCATGTGAGAAGTACTTTCATGAATATATTTACTGTTGCACGTTATCAACCTGACTGCCGGTAAAACTTGGCTGGTTGCTCTTTGACTATAACAAAGTCACACATTTACTTAAGATCCAAACGTACACTTGCCAGCAAGGTGACCAAATTGAATATTCTTTCAGAGTATTAGGTTGCTGTGTGGGTTCATATACAGTCTTTAACGCAACAGTTGCTGCCTTTACCAGTGGCACTGTCAGCTCAAGAGCAATTTGAAAAAGAAAATCATAATTTTATTTTCACGAGGGTGTATGAAGAGTTTCCTCCCGCTTCTAGCATCCTTTGAACCTATCTTAAAAATTTTGGCACATGCTGCGGTATGGTTCTGGTGTATACTATCAAAGTTCCTTTTGTGACCAGGAGGTTATTGTTATGTGATGTTATGCTTGTTGCCAGGAGGAAATTATTTGACTGGGGACACATCAGCCGATCTCTAGTTTTGAACCCATAGGGTAGTGTCCAGATAGGTACAAAATGACACCAAGAAAGAGCTGAGAATGCAACACTGAATCCTGGCTCTCAAGAAAGTGACAGAACTATAACATGACGCATCTACACAGGCAGATGTCATTATAAAGACGGTTATAAGAATTTGTGTAGGGAAAATAATTGATATGCAATGTGGGAAGAAACAAAAATCTTTATATAGATCTAGTTCCTTCTTGTTAGTTCTGATGGAGTGATGAGCCAGAATTGGCAACTAGACATGTTCCAAGCAGTTAAGAGTTAAGAGATTTTGGAAAAGCAATAAAGTATCCACATGTTGAACAAGAATAAAAACTAATTTATGTTTGAACTTTGTTGTGTGAGTAGGATGTGATGAAAATGCAGATCTGCTTTGAAAGCTGGTACTTTACAAGGTTGTAGAACACCCCGTTCTGACTTGCAGTTTGTTGTTATTTTGTTCCTTCTGCAGACTAGAACAGCCGTACTTGTCAGCAAGTGCACAGTTCTTTCAAGCACTGGGGCACTGCTCATCACTGGAGCGATTCTGCATAGTTTCTCGGCACGGAACCTTCCAGCATGATGCAGTGATATCATTCATGACCAAGTGCCCAAATGTCATCATGTGTCACATGTTTACAGGAGAGACTCTGGTGGCCTGCAAGAATCTTCAGCAAGCGCTGATCACAGGGTAAGTGAAAGGAAATTGCTTGTCTACAAAAGCAGCAAGTTACAGGTGTGGTATGTAAAAGTAAACAATGCTCAAGGTCCGAATGTGTTGGTGGAAGCACACCAAATAGCTTTAATGGATCTAACAAATGCTAAATAAAGTGCAGGTATTTCTGCCATAACGCATGTTTCGTTAATGTGAATTGGCTATAATGCAATTGAATAGTGGACATGGAATAACGTGAAGTTTCTACTGTACAGAATAGTGATTTTCTACAACGCAGGGTCACATAAGAATGTAATGATTGCATTGGAGGAGAAATACCTGTGGATCAGATAACTAACAGGTTGCCTTTCTGTCCCATTAATGCATTTGGGTTATAGGTTTTAAAATGTTCTTTAAATTAAGATTTCATATCTTAAAAGCTATCTTAAAAACTTGTCACAAAGTGGTTGGTGTCTTGTTCAGGCTGTCCCTTTTACTGTATTCCTGAGGCCATAACCATTGCTTCCCCTCCCCTGCACAAGGTTTAACTGAGCTTGCCGTGTGTGGCATTAGAAAGTCTGCAGTCGCCCTCAAGTGTTACTGTGGTAAGGAAGGGCATACTAAGCAGCCAGCATTTGCATTGCTGATTACGATCAATGTGTCTCTTGCTGGAAATTTGTACATTTGGATGTACATCATTGATTGTGATAACAACTGACATCCCAACCCAAAGTCTCTTGATCACGTAACTTATAAATATTGTCTAATTTTCACACATGAAGATACCAGAAGGCTCCACAGGTTATTTGTGGATCCTGCAGTTAATAGAAACTCTACACTTCACAACAGCAGGTTGTTTTGATGTGCAGTGCCGCGTGCATATAAGAATAGGAATGGGCAGCTTATTTTGTAAGCATTGAGCAGATGCCATAAATCAGTTGATCTTTTTGGCATAATGTTCCTTGTTTCATCCTATACAGGATTACAGATAATGTCTGATTCTGCTATTTTGCTTATCTAATCAGAGCAAGGGTAATTCTGCTCCTTAGTATCACAGGGCATTAACACTAGTTTAAATCATTAAGGTTCCAGAAATTTCTTTACACTTTCAGTAGGGGGCAATATTGTAAGATGTATCAGACTCTAGTTGTTTTCCATTTTTCATACATAGGCAATATAAAGAGTGTTCTGCAAGCTAAACACTGTAATGGAATTGAATTGGACCAAAGTATTTAAGTGTTTTACTGCTGTATTGTGACATCCTAAACATCATCTCTAAATGGTGTTTCAACAGAAAGGTTACAAATAGTTTAGGATTTCTTTTCTTGCTCTTTCTATCGCACTGCATCGCTTGAGCACGTTTGGTGTGAATGAAAAGAGCAGCAGTTGTGCAGAGTTATTAGTGGATTGTTTGATTTATACGGTCGATGTGGACTCATAAATGATTCATGGGTACATTATCCTTTTCATAATGGATAGAGGTACTTAATCCCTCTGGATTTCCTGAAAATGTTATCTGTAATCTACATTCTTGTGTGTGATGTATGTGTGTTTGAATGTAGCTGCACTTTCGAATGATAAAATAGGATGGGAGAGGAAAAGCACAACTTCACATTTAAGGAGTACTGAAGTATAAAAAGCAGGGGTAAAAAATACAATTGGTAGGAGAGATATCAGGAAAAATTAAAAGCATTGAAAAGTGACACTGGGAATACGCAGTCACTTGCTCACTCCCTAATTTACGCTGTTGCCCAAAGGGCTGAGTTGAGTGGACTTTTTTTTCCCCCCGATGAACCACTAGCTTTTATAATGCATACTTTGAGTTCCTGGTGGATTTGTTATAACGTTAGTCCGTTTACAGATGGTACTTTGGATTTTAAAGTATGTGGCCACTGCTGCTCAATTGCTGATTCTGTTAACGTCATTTTTCTGAAAATATGGCCTGAAGTGAAGACCTATTTATTTTCCCTATGTCGCCATGCTGTAGGTCATTGTGTAGGAGGTTTAGCTTCCCCCCACTTTTACCATCCCATGCTATATTTGTACTGCAGTGAAGTTAATCATGTGACACCCAGTGAGATTAATAAGAGATATGGAACGAAACCAGTGTGTCCTTGCTTGCCTCTTTGAAGCCCGCAGCATTCTTGGTTCATACTTTTTGCTGCTTTGAAATTGATTACAGATCACGCCGAGTAGCCTAGAATCATTTTTTGACAGCAGGTTATTAGCTGTGGTATTTTGCAGTCAGCTGTTTGTGGATGTCCTCATGCTAAGGCAAAATGGATCCTTATTCAACTTCTAAATAGTATCGTGGAAAAGGTAAAGCATTTCTTCAGGATAAAGAGCATTAGGCTTTAAGATGAGTCTTATTGATCATATTTACTCCAGGTGAATGTTTGAATCTTTCCACTGCTGATTAATCCTCTATCAATCCCTATTTTTTTAGTCTCCAGTGACATTAGGATGCACATTCCATTTCCAGTATTTTCAGACCAAATGGTGGGAAAATGCAGAGGAGCTATTCAGACATGTTTTCCACATTTACCAGTGCATCCGTCAGCCATGGTGCGTGGACTTGGCAAGTCAGTTCAGCATAATGAAACTCAGCAGGTCTGGCAGCATCTGTGGAGAGAAAATCAGAGTCAGGTTTTGAGTTTGTTACCACTACTTGCTCTGAAAAAAGAGTCACTTGAAACATTAAATCTGTTTCTCTCACCACAGATGGTGCCAGACTTGGGCTTCTCCAGCATTTAAGTTTTTATTTTCAAACTCCGATATCTGCAGTATATTTTTTAATTTCAATGTGATAACGTGGCCTGGAACTTTAAGTTTAATTTAACCTCTAATGATCCATTCCAAATAAAAACGTGGAGTGTTAATGCAGAAATTTTAGATAGCTCGGTAGCAATTAAAAACGAATAGTGGGAGCCCTTCCAGAGTCAAAAGGACTGAATCCTGTCCACAAGTTATGAATCAAACCCACTAACTCTACTTTCAGACTTGAGTTGGGCATTAATATTGCTGGAGAAATACTCTTTTTTTTAAGCTAGTTTCTTCCAAATCAGCAGTTAATGATTTAATTCAGTCTATACCCTGCTAGATTTCCTCTGCAGTCTTCCCAAAATCTCTCCATTTGATTTTTTTCAAAATATTTATGACTTGCTTTCATCTTGAAGGTCCACACCCCAGGCAGCTCCCTATTACTAAATAGGAACCTGTAAGTAGTAGATTGTATGTCAGTGTTGCTTAGCGGGTAGAACTTGCACCCTGAGTCACTATCCCACAGACTTGAATACAACAATCCAGTGCAGGCATGATGGATGGAATATTGAGGGAATGTTTGTACTGAATCCAGCAGCGAAGGAGATCTTTATAGACACCACAGCCCCATTTTGCAGCAGTCGGTCAGTGAGCCGTGTTCTGTGGTTTTAAATGTCCAGCCCTTTGACAACTCCTGTGAAAGCATAAGGGGTAAACCATGTAGTGTCAGCGCAGGTTTAGGTTGGCAGTTGGGTGAGTGGGTTACGGTGCCAACTAGGTAGGATGCGGAGTAAGTGAATGAGTGCTTACGGTCAGAGTGGGGACTGGGGGAGCCTGCTTGTTGGTTGGGGCTACATTGAGAGGTCATGGGCTTTGGGTCTTGGATGGAGGTGGAATGGGAGTCATCAAGTGGCAGTGGTTCGGCTGGTGTGTGGTTGGATTGACGCAAGGTACTGGGTCTGGAAGCTGGGTGTGGAAGGTGGGTGTTGAGGAATTGGTGATTCTGGGTGTGTAGGGGAATTGCCACCTGGCTAGGGGTGTGCAGTGATTCGGTCTGGGGATGGGGGTAAATCAGAGGTGAGGCAGGGTGATATCAGGAATGGCAGGGGTATGTTTTGCGTTGGGCATGTTTGGATGAGGGTGTCGGGGATCAGAGGTATAGTTGGTGGGCCCAAGGTGGTGACCGAGTCAGGGATGTCCGATGTTAAAGAAGGTTTTTAATCCTCTAGAGCTGATGGCCTAGTGATATAATCACTACAGTACCTGGGTCTCTGGATGAATAATGTTCTGGGGACCCAGATAGTAGAATTTGAATTCAATAAAAATAAATTGGGATTAAGAATCTAATGATGACCATGCAACCATTGCCGAATGTTGGGAAAACCCATCAGGTTCACTGATGTCCTTTAGGGAAGGAGGTGTGCCATCCATACCCAGTCTGCCCCACATGTGACTCTAGACCCTCAGTAATACGGTTGATTCTCAACTGACCTCTGAGCAATACATGCTGGCCTGGCCCACGACATCCACATCCCGTGAATGAATAAAAATAAACAAGATTAATTGAGTTGGAACCTCCAAGGTTTTCACTTTTTAAGGAGTTTTCTCAGCGGGTTCCAGACAGGGGAGTTGCGCATCAGAAGTTTCAATTTTCTGGGCAATTCCCACTGAATCAGCTCCATCACAGACTATGCACAGACTCTGGTCCTGATGCACAACTCCAGTCTACGCTATTGAACTGACTATTTGGGCCACTGTCTGTCCACAAACTGAAACTCTACTGTTGAACAAGCACTCCACCTAGTGGCTCAGCTAAAACTGAGCAAAGTTACACAATGTAGGAGCAAACTACTGCAAATGCTGGAATCTGTACTGAAAACAACAAATGCTGGAGATCACAGTGGGTCAGGCAGCATCCATGGAGAGAGAACAAGCTAACATTGAGTCTAGATGACTCTTTGGCACTTCACATCAGCGCTGAGGATTATTTTTTAAACTGAGTGATTGATTGTTTCACATATACATAGACTGCCTTAATAGAAAAACTTCCCGATTATTTCATAGAATCCCTACAGTGTGGAACCAGGCCCTTTGGCCGAACAAGTCCATACCAACCCACGGAGCGTCCCACCCAGACCCATTCCCCTATAAACCCACCTAATCTACACATCCCTGAACACTACGGGCAATTTAGCATGGCCAATTCACCTAGCCTGCACATCTTTGGACTGTGGGAGGAAATTGGAGCACCCGGAGGAAACCCACACAGACATGGG